GGTTACTGTATACAGATGGTTTGATCTCTGGAATCTCCGATCTATTCCAGATATCAATGCTTCTGTTCTTGGGCCAGTACCAGGCAGATTTTACTATTATTGCCTTGTAGTACAGCTTGAAGTCAGGAAGACTGATGCCTCCCAGTTTGTTCTTTTTACTTAAGATTGCTTTGGCTATGCGTGGTTTTCTCTGGTTCCATACAAAGCAAAGGATTATTTTTTCTAGATCTGTAAAGAATGCTGGTGGTATTTTGATGGGAATTGCATTGATTCTGTAGATCACCCTAGGTAATACTGACATTTTAACAATATTGATTCGTTTAAGCCATGAGCATGGTAGATTTTTCCATCTGTTTAAATCATCTGCAATTTCTTTTTTTAGTGTTTCATAGTTCTCCTTGTGTAAATCTTTTGTATCTCTCGTTAGATATACTCCTAGATATTTAATTTTCTTTGGAGCTATAGTAAAGGGTATTGGGTTTTTGATTTGAGTTTCTGCTTGATGGTTTTTGGCATATATGAATGCTTCTGATTTGTGTATGTTGATTTTATACCCTGAAACTTTACAGAATTGATTTATCAGATCTAGGAGTCTCTTGGATGAGTCCATGGGGTTTTCGAGATATAATATCATATCATCGGTGAAGAGTGAGAGTTTGATCTCATCTAACCCAACTTGGATGCCCTTAATACCCCTCTCATGCCTGATTGCTATAGCTAAGACTTCGAGCACTATGTTGAATAGGAGGGGAGAAGGTGGGCATCCTTGTTTAGTTCCGGTTCGAAGGGGGAATGATTTCAATTTTTCCCCATTTAGAATGATGTTAGCCATTGGTTTGTCATAAATGGATTTGATAAATTTAAGGTATGGGCCGTCTATGCCTATTTTGTTAAGGGTTTTTATCATAAAGGTATGTTGGACTTTATCAAATGCTTTTTCTGCATCTATTGACAGAATCATATGGTCTTTGTTCTTGACTTTACTTATAAAGTGGATTGCATTTATAGACTCGCATATGTTGAACCAGCCTTGCATGCCAGGAATAAACCCCACTTGGTCATGGTGAATTATTTTTTTGATGTGCTGCTGAATTCTATTTGCTAAAATTTTGTTTAGGATTTTTGCATCTATATTTGTGAGGGATATTGGTCTGTAATTTTCTTTTCTTGTTGCATCCTTTCTTAGCTTTGGTATCAAGGTGATATTGGCTTCGTAGAATGAGTTAGGAAGGATACCATCCTTCTCAATGGTGTGGAACAGTTTCTGTAATATAGGTTTATTTCTAGCTTTTGATTTAAAGTAAGATATGGAAAAAAACAATTTTTAATTTATAAACATAAAAACAACATTTTTATGAATAAGAGCACAAGCGCCTCCTTATACCAAGAACTTATATTTTGAAGTACTATCCAGGCTAAGCTGTCCATGTCAGGTTATATTGCATGAAGGAAATTCAAGGTATTGTTTTATGAAAACAGAGGAAAAACAGAAGTTAATTCTTGGAGGGAATTGTAATCTTAGTGCTGAGGGCAGAGGGCAGCTAGCGTGAAGATTTCTGGATTTGCGCCGGAAGTGAATGAAGACACAGTAGCAACCTGGGGGGTTTCCTGGGGTGGTGTATGAATGTCCTGGGTTTGTCCAACGTGTTCGGGGGCCTCTCAATGCCCTGTGGAGCAGCAGGCATGACATCTGTCAGTATGTGGGCTTCTGTAGCGATTTTTCTGAAGTTTGAAGTCATCCAGTTTACTTTTGCAGGGCTCAGGGAAGGGGAAGTTTTAGTTTTAGTGAAACTAGGAAATTTCAAGGTCCTGCTACCAGGCGGAAAGCAAAGCTTCACGGGGAATGAGCAGGACTGGCTAGTACACTGTAATTTTCTTTCTTTATTTCTTTCTTTTTTTTTGAGGCAGAGTCTCACTCTGTTGCCTGGGCTAGAGTGCCATGGCATCAGCCTAGCTCACAGCAACCTCTAACTCCTGGGCTCAAGTGATCCTCCTGCCTCAGCCTCCCGAGTAGCTGGGACTACAGGCATGCACCACCATGCCCAGCTAAGTTTTTCTATAAATTTTTAGTTGACTAATTAATTTCTTTCTAATTTTAGTAGAGACTCGGGTCTCACTCTTGCTCAGGCTGGTTTTGAACTCCTGACCTTGAGTGATCCTCCTGCCCCAGCCTCTCAGAGTGCTAGGATTACAGGCATGAGCCACCACACCTGGCCAAGCTCATTTTTTAAAGCACCTTATAAATAAAATCATTTTAATCTTAGCAGTTAGAGCATACATGAAATTCCTTTTACCCAGGTCTTTTATAATTTTCTGTGTCTATTCAGTTTGTCATACGTGTTTTTTTTTCTTCTGAAACAATCAGTCATCTTGCTTTAAGATAAAATTATGCTCTTTTTTTTCCTTAATGGAAACACACGTTGTATACTTTTCCTTATTAAAAACTAGTATCTAGTGAAAGTAGGAAGTACACAGTATCGCAGTTTTTAACAGCATGTGCTTCCTTGTAGCACAGGTGTGCTCACCTGCAGATCTAAGTACTTCTGGTTCCTCTGTAAGAAGCAGCCCAGAATACTCAAGCTTAAACTTCTGTGCTTTAGTCGTTTATCTTATTTATGCATGGTCTTGATATTTAAAGAACATTTACCATTTAATGTAACTTGGTGTAATTTTAAAGTTTCAAGTTTTCAAAAAGATTTTATAAACTGTTTTCAGGTAGACATAACATTAAAAAAAACTATATGTCTTCTCAGGTTATTTTTCTTGTTGACAAATTTTGTAGCAGATAACATGAGCTTATTTGACTAATCACAGCTAGGTAAAATATATGTTTTTACTAAATCATCACTATTCATACTTATTAAAGATTACTCAGTTCATGTGAACCTGAAAACCATTTGGGTGAGTTCTTTTCTGAGAAAATAATTTATATAAGCACTTAATTTTATTTAGGCCAACAGAATGGAATGCTTTAGATATTATTTCTAATGCCATCACCCAGAGGCGGAATAACACGCCATGTAGACGCCATACCTGTGCAGGCATGTGAAACCACACAGACAGACCCAGAGGGCCAGGGCTCTGCTCTGAGACCGCAGCATGTGCCAAGGGCAGTAACGCAGACTCCTGGCTGGACCCAGCTGTGTGCCCGGCAGGCGGAGTGGCCTGTTCAGATTGCCAAAGCCGTTTATACGTATTTGTAGAAAGGACTGTTAAGATTTTTCATTTGCAGCCGGGCGGGGTGGCTCACGCCTGTAATCCTAGCACTCTGGGAGGCTGAGGCGGGCGGATTGCTCGAGGTTAGGAGTTCAAAACCAGCCTGAGCAGAAACAAGACCCCGTCTCTACTATAAACAGAAAGAAATTAATTGGCCAGCTAATATATATAGAAAAAATTAGCCGAGCATGGTGGCGCATGCCTGTCGTCCCAGCTACTCGGGAGGCTGAGGCAGCAGGATCGCTTGAGCCCAGGAGATTGAGGTTGCTGTGAGTGAGGCTGATGCCACCGCACTCACTCTAGCCTGGGCAACAAAGCAAGACTCTGTCTCAAAAAAAAAAAAAGGATTTTTCATTTGCCAGTTTATCCCTAAAACATCCCTCTTTTTCCCACCTCTGATGAGTCATTTGCCTGAGACCTTCATTTTAAAGATTTAGACGTCTCCAAGGCGGAGAGCAAGGGCGCAGCATCTGCTCCAAGAGGGCGCCGGGCGTGTTCGCCTGCTGCCCAGAGTCAGTCCCACTGGGGTTGGTGCGCTGCCGTGGGTGGCCGAGGAGACAGACGTCGGTTTCCATTTGCTCTTTCTCCTCTTCAGCCCCAGGTAGCTGCTTTTATAATAGCTCGAAGCCGTGTTCAAGGCCAAGAGTTGGATTTGGTTGCTGGGGATACTCCTGGCTCGTTTGAGGATGTGATGTTTAAGGGGAGTTGGTCTTGAGAATGGTCCCATGGGAAAGCGGGGACCAGAGAGACTGGTAGATCCAGAACAGTGTTTAGTAGCACAGGAATAGAGAAGACTCCTTTAGAGAAGCTGTTTTCCTTTAGTCATTCTGTGTACAGTCGGTCTGCAGACCAGCTGAAAATGGGTGTCATTGCTCCTCAGGCACTCGGTCCTTTTTCCCGACGCGCCCACAGATGAGGGAGTTCACCTGGAATAAAACGCCCCGTTGTTACCGCCGTCACTCCACGTCACCTGCCTGAGCCGCACCCATTTCCCCACAGGTCCTGGGTCTGTTATTCTGGACAGCTACTTAGCTCCGGAAGGAGTCGTCCCAGACTCCCCGGACTCTGGCCCGTCCCCAACGCCCTGTCCTGCAGTGTTAGGGACCTGCGGCCTCCAGCTGGGCCCAGTCCCACCCCTGGAGCAAGGGCGCTACGTTGGACTGGTCCAGACCCAGTCTGACCTCGAGAATAGAAATTCCTCAGCGTCGGAGAGCTTGGGGTGGAGATCGTGGAGCTCGGAATCCGACCAGGATGTACCTGCGACCATCAGATGCCTTGAGAAAGCAGTGAGCACGCTGGGCCCGCGGTTTCCCACACCTGGTTGCTCACAGACCCCACTTGTGACACCAAACTGGTAAAGGTAAACTGAGGCACATGTACGTTGTTGGTTTTTTTTTAAAGAGTTTATTGGAGCAAATGATAATTCATGAGTTGGGAGCTTCAAACCAGAGTGCTGCGTGCGCCCGGCAGGGAACGCCAGGGGAGGCTCTCAGAGAACAGTGGCAGAGCAAAGCCAAGGCAGCGGGAATGGCGCAGCCGCGAGGTGCCTCCTCTGGTCTTTCCTGGCGGAGAGCCCCTGGTTCCGTGAGTTTGGCGGCTACTCCTGATTGGTTGAGCTTAAGTTCTAGTTTTCCTTAATATAGGTATTTTCAAGAGATAGCGCAATTTAAGTTTCACCTGCGTTTGGAAACCGAGCCAGGCTGGGGTCTCGGCCTCAGCGGCCTCACTGCCCCGCACTCCGGTGTGTGGTGCACAGCGGCCTCACCGCGCCCCTCTCCTTCCAGCCTGCAGTGGCGTCTGGGACAACATCACCTGCTGGCGGCCTGCGGACGTGGGCGAGACGGTGACCGTGCCCTGCCCGAAGGTGTTCAGCAACTTCTACAGCAAAGCAGGTACCGTGCGCCGGTCTGCGGCCCTTCTACGGCGCTCGCGTCTGCGGGTCGGGTGTTTCCAGAAGTCACAGCAAGTGGGAGTGTCTCTCCGTGGGCACCTCCCCCGTGTCCACAGCAAGTGGGAGTGGCTCTCCATGGGCACCTCCCCTGTGTCCACGGCAGGTGGGGAGTGTCTTTCTGTGGGTACCTTCCCTGTGTCCACGGCAGGCGGGAGTGTCTTTCTGTGGGTACCTTCCCTGTGTCCAGAGCAAGTGGGAGTGTCTCTCCGTGGGCACCTCCCCTGTGTCCACAGAAGTGGGAGTGTGGGATGTCCCCTGTGTCCACAGCAAGTGGAGTGTCTCTCCGTGGGCACCTCCCCTGTGTCCACAGCAAGTGGAGTGTCTCTCCGTGGGCACCTCCCCTGTGTCCACAGCAAGTGGAGTGTCTCTGTGTTGGGATGTCCCCTGCGTCCACAGCAAGTGGGAGTGTCTCTCCGTGGGCATCTCCCCTGTGTCCACAGCAAGTGGAGTGTCTCTCCGTGGGCACGTCCCCTGTGTCCACAGCAAGTGGAGTGTCTCTCCGTGGGTACCTCCCCTGTGTCCACAGCAAGTGGGAGTGTCTCTCCGTGGGCACCTCCCCTGTGTCCACAGCAAGTGGAGTGTCTCTGTGTTGGGATGTCCCCTGCGTCCACAGCAAGTGGAGTGTCTCTCCGTGGGCACCTCCCCTGTGTCCACAGCAAGTGGAGTGTCTCTCCGTGGGCACCTCCCCTGTGTCCACAGCAAGTGGAGTCTCTCTCTGTGGGCACCTCCCCTATGTCCACAGCAAGTGGGAGTGTCTCTCCGTGGGCACCTCCCCTGCGTCCACAGCAAGTGGAATGTCTCTCTGTGGGCACCTCCCCTGCGTCCACAGCAAGTGGGAGTGTCTCTCCGTGGGCACCTCCCCTGCGTCCACAGCAAGTGGGAGTGGCTCTCCGTGGGCACCTCCCCTGTGTCCACGGCAGGTGGGGAGTGTCTTTCTGTGGGTACCTTCCCTGTGTCCAGAGCAAGTGGGAGTGTCTCTCCGTGGGCACCTCCCCTGTGTCCACAGAAGTGGGAGTGTCTCTCTGTTGGGATGTCCCCTGTGTCCACAGCAAGTGGAGTGTCTCTCCGTGGGCACCTCCCCTGTGTCCACAGCAAGTGGAGTGTCTCTCCGTGGGCACCTCCCCTGTGTCCACAGCAAGTGGAGTGTCTCTGTGTTGGGATGTCCCCTGCGTCCACAGCAAGTGGGAGTGTCTCTCCGTGGGCATCTCCCCTGTGTCCACAGCAAGTGGAGTGTCTCTCCGTGGGCACGTCCCCTGTGTCCACAGCAAGTGGAGTGTCTCTCCGTGGGTACCTCCCCTGTGTCCACAGCAAGTGGGAGTGTCTCTCCGTGGGCACCTCCCCTGTGTCCACAGCAAGTGGAGTGTCTCTGTGTTGGGATGTCCCCTGCGTCCACAGCAAGTGGGAGTGTCTCTCCGTGGGCATCTCCCCTGTTTCCACAGCAAGTGGAGTGTCTCTCCGTGGGCACGTCCCCTGTGTCCACAGCAAGTGGAGTGTCTCTCCGTGGGCATCTCCCCTGTTTCCACAGCAAGTGGGAGTGTCTCTCCGTGGGCATCTCCCCTGTGTCCACAGCAAGTGGAGTGTCTCTCCGTGGGCACGTCCCCTGTGTCCACAGCAAGTGGAGTGTCTCTCTGTGGGCACGTCCGCTGTGTCCACAGCAAGTGGAGTGTCTCTGTGTTGGGATGTCCCCTGCGTCCACAGCAAGTGGGAGTGTCTCTCTGTTGGGACGTCCCCTGTGTCCACAGCAAACGGGAGTGTCTCTGGTGGTGTCCCCTGCGTCCACGGCAGGCAGGAGTGTCTCTCCGAGGGCACCTCCCGTGTCCAGGCCCTGCTCTCCTGCTCAGGTGCTGCCAACGCTCCTGGCTCAATCTGAGAGGAGGGTTTTATTTGTTCTGACTCAAGTTTTCATAGCGTGAAAAAGTCTATCTGGGAAAGTGGAGGATAGAAAACACGTCTTCAAACAAAGCATAATATTTTGAGTACCAGGCAAAACTTGCTTTTTTCTTGGACATACGTTAAAGGGTAGAAACTTGGAGAACTGACAGTGTTCAAATGCTTTAAAACAGGGTGTTGGAGCACGATTGGGATAGAGGAAAAGGAGACTCAGAAAAGAGGTTTTATCTCGTCTGTGGGACCTGCCAGGTGACTCTCACGATGCATTGTCCAGTCTGAAGGCTGAGCTCATGCTTGTGTAGGAACTGAATTACTCTAGAGGATCTGGACTTTAAGGACTGTCCGACCCAATCAGTAGCGTTTCTGCTGATGGCTTGGGCTACAAACACCTCCTGGAGACCCCATTGAGTTGTCAGACCCAGGCGTTTCCTAGTTGTGGTCCGGTGCTGCAGGCTCCACCTGCTCACAGCAGCCAGAGATGCCGGGCTCCAAGGCCTGGCCGCCATCCAGCCAGACAGAGGCCGGGCGGGCGGACACCTGGGCGCCCAGGTCAGCCAGCCTCTGGCCACACTCTTGAGTCATCACACACCCTCACTGGGGGAGTGAAAACCCCAGTCTGTTTTGGGCTAAATGCTTGACATTTTTCTCCAAAGCAGGGAGACCTAGCTTGGCTGTAAACATTTCTTAGTGACAGAACAGAAGAATCTGTTTAAAATTTTTATCGTGCTCCCAAATAACACGTATGCAGTTGCAGGAGCTACAGTACGATGCTATTTGTGTTGCCTCTGGCCAGCGTGTTCACTGGTTTCTTGGGCCCCACCAGCCGGGGAGGCGGGTCACAGGCCAGGTTGCTGGGCAGGGGGCGAGCAGGGATTTCCATCACTGGTCCCTCGAGGGAGGGAGCGTTTTGGTGGCACAGGCCTCGCACGGCTAGATCATGGCAGCTAAGGCCACAGACAGGCAGATGATGTGTCTGAACTTCACTTTACAGGAAACATAAGCAAAAACTGCACCAGTGATGGGTGGTCAGCGATGTTCCCAGACTTCGTGGACGCCTGCGGCTACGGCGACCTGGAGGACGAGAGCAAGGTACCTCTTCCTGGCACAGGTTGCAGCGCCCGCCCCGCCCCGTGGGCCGTTAGGCCCCGTCCCTGAGCAGCCGGGCATCCTCTCGCTCTGCTCAGCGTTTGGAATTACTGTTTCCAGCTACGGTTTGCTCCATAATTCTGCGGCCAGGGAAGGGCAGGTGTCTCACCTGCTGTCAGTGTGTCCTGGGTGTGGAGCGGACACCCAAGGGTGAAAGGAGCTTCCCGAGTGCGTCCCGAGCGGCAAACTCTGCCACCAGGTCTCCTCGTCCCATTTGAGATCTTGCCACAGTCTGGCCTGTCGAGGAGCCCCCCACCCCCAGCCGGCTCATTAGCCCTGCGCCTGCAGCAGAGCCGTGATGCACGTTAGGGGTCTTTTCCAGTCAGCGGTTGCAGAGCCGGGGCCCTTGGTCAGGCTGTGCGGACTTGGGGGCACAGTTTCTCCAGCCTCATGGTGTCCAATCTGGGGTGACCCTTCCTGCAGGACTGTGGTCTCTGAGCAAGCCGGGGTGTGCTGGGTGTGTCAGCTGCTCGGATCTGTCCCTGCGGCTCTCCCAGCCCAGCAGGCGGGGTTTCTCCCGAGCACTCACCCACCCCCCCAACCTCCCGCATTTCGTTTCATCGCCAGACAGAGCCTGTCACGGCAGCCAGGCCAGCTGTGCACGCCACAAGCACTTCCCAGAGCCGTAGGGACACTGCACTCCAGGCAGGGTGAGGGACAGGTGTGGGCGAGGTGACGGACAGGTGCCCGCAGCCGAGGATGCTTTAAGGGCCAGGAGGCCCCCAGCGGCAGTGTGTTTGCTGTCAGACAAGCCCGATGCCCTGAGACGTGCGCTCCGTGTCCGCCCCGTCATGCATGGCCGTGGGGACACCCTGGGGAACTGATGCGCCTCTGGCCCTTTCTCCCATCGGGCTTTCTGTGCTCCCTGCCCTTAGATTGACAGCTCAGAGCCAGTTCTTTTCCCGTGAGGTTATGGAGCCTTGTCCTTTAGCCGGAATGCACCTGTGGGAGGTAAAACTCGGGATTGCTGGCGGGCAGTCTGTACCACGACGGTGCCGACGCCGTGGGGCGTGCCCTGAGCGGGCACCACCTCACTGGGGCTCGCTGACGGCTGCCTCCCCACGGGCCTTCAGACGGGTGACCCCAGTGCCGTCCGCTCCCAACCAGGGCTGAAGGCACAAGGACGGGGCGCAACCCACTGACGGCGCCGGCCCTTCCCGCACGCGGGTCTATCCGGACCCCGCCCGCGGCAGTGCTCGGAGGACCCAGCGGGAGGAGGTTGGCGGCGACCTGGCGTTTTGTGGGCTGCGGGGAGAAGAGGCCGGGCAGGGGCGCAGGCTGGGACGTTTCCGGTGCGCACGCGGGGCAGGGCCGGGCGGTGCGGTGGGGGCGGGGCGGCGCGCAGGGGAGGCCCCACGGTCTGGCGCAGCCCCGCGCGTCCTGCGTCTGCGGCGGTCGCGTGCGCTTCTCCTTGGGACGCGGCCACCCCTAAGCCAGGACCCGGGAAGGACGGGGACAGCAGCCGCGAGACTGCGCGGAATGTTGTGGTGCAGACAGCCCGGCCGGCAGGGGCACGGGCGCCGCGGAGGCCCCCGCGTCCGCACGTCCTGCCTCCCCCCTGTCGCTAACCCTCGTGGTGGCCGTTTCCCTCCTGCCCGTGTGCGGATCCCGGGCGTCCAGCTGTCCGGTTACCCAGCGCGTCTCCGAGGATGTCCTGTCTGCGGGAATGGCCCTCCCTGAGTGTTCCGTCCTCGTTCCCTTCTGTATTTTTATTCGTCCCACTAATGGGGCCCAGCTGGCCCCAGCGCAGGCGGGAGGCTTCAGTCCTCACCTGCGTCCCCCATGGCAGCAGCACAGGTGGCTTTGGCAGCGCCACCCCTTCCCTCCAGCGCGCCCCGAAGACGGGTGGACCCGCCCACTGCGCGTGGTCCCTGGCGACCCCGCCTGGGGCCCTCGTGCAGGCGGATCTGATTAGAACCGGAGTTCTAGGGAGGGTTAGGGTTAGGGTTGGGGCAGAGCAAGGCTCGTGGGCTGGGGGGACCGGCCCGCGGCCTTCAGAGTGAGACCTCAGTCGCCCAGTGCTTGACCCCAGCCAGGAGGCTCCAGTGGGAAGAGGGAGCTGGGCCCTGCTCTGAGCACCCTCAACTCTGACCAGAGCCGGGATGGGGCCTCCCCCTGCGCAGGGGTGTGGAGGGGACCGTGGTGTCCTCGAGTGACCTTGTCACATCCCTCCTGTCACTCTGGAGGCCCCCGAGCTGGGATGCTCAGCCACAGTCAGACCGTTTCAGGGACTGTGGAGTGTCGGGGCTCTGTAGTTTGGGGGAGTCCCGACGTCTGAGCAGGACCACAGGTGCCACGCAAGGGCCGTCCTGTGAGTCCCGTCTGCGTCTGCATCGGGCCGTACTCGGGAGGCCTCGTGGCCGGTGGTGTCCTGCCCACCCCCCCATGCAGTGCCACGTGTGCAGCCCCCAGCCGGCGGTTCTCTGCCTCATTCATTCCACCGGCGAGCACGTCCTCAACCGTCAGGAGTGACCCGGGGTCGGCAGGTGGTGAGAGCCCAGTGCCAGCGCAGCTGCCACGGCACCCCAGGAGCCAGGCACGGTGCCGTCACCACCCTTTCCCACGGACGCTGCCGGGTCCCTCGGGAAGGCCTGGAACTGAATCCCGGCTGCTTGACACGCAGAGACTCCCAGATGCCCTGAGGCTTTTCTCTCCAGCCTGAAGAGCTATTTTTCTTCTTAATTAAACATTTCAGAGATTCTGCAAGTATCATAAACGCATATTCCCTGCTAAGGGATTAGCATGTCAAAATATTTTTATGTGAGAAAGCAAAGAAAATGATGGCACCAAACCAAAAGGAATAATTCTCCTTCCTGATTGCGGTGTCCGCCCTTCCAATGCTCTGAACACTTGGCTGTTTCAGGGACTCATCAAAGATGGAGCAATGGCACGAACCGCGTGGCGCTCCAGACTCCCCAGCCCCGGGATGGGTCCTGGGCGGCCACGGGGCAGGCTCGTGCTGCCCCAGCCCAGGCCCTCCGGCTGGCGAGCAAAGGGCTCCCCCACCCGGGGCTCACCTGCCACCTCATCTCACCAGCATCTCGTTCTCTTCCCGGGTTTATGTTTTAACTGTGTTTCCTGCTGGCAGGTCGCCAGATTGTGCCCTGGTGTTACGTGCAATCCTCGTTGGTTTCAAAATTAATTAAATTCAAGGAAAAAATCAACCTCTGCCACAGCCCCAGGCTTGGCTGTGTGCCAAGGGAATCCGGTGGGGGGGGTCCCCCGGAAGGAGAACGGGTGCAGAGACCCCCCTGCCAGGGTCCCACGCAGGGGCCACTGCCGCAGCTGTTTGGGCCTGGGCAGCCCAGAGCCTGCGGGCCGTGGCTGTGGCCTCTGTCTGGGGTCTGCCAGCCTCGGTCACCTCCCAGCTGGGGGCCCCTTCTGTCACCAGCTTCCATGTCCAAGTTCTTCCCAGCCTGTGCCCTTCTCCCACCAGGACTATCGTGCCTTGGCGTAGGGACGTTTTCCCTGGAGACTTTGTGCCCTTTGACCCCTGAGCAGAGGTCTCAATCCCGCGGCCGGGTCTGTGCTGCCACCAGCCGCTCTTCTCTCCCCTCCTTGCGCTGCCTCCCCGGATCCTGGCAGTTCTGGACTCAGACCAACGTGGCATCAAAGGGCTTGGAGTCCCGGACACTGGAGGGTCCCGGGCTCCCTGCCCTGCCGGGCAGCGTGACAGGTAAGACTGGGCTTCGTGTGGCCTGGAAACAGAGCAGGAGCCGCCAGCGGCAGCCGTGGCTGGGAGGGTGGACACTGCAGCATCCCGGCTGGCCCGGAGCCCTGGACTCTGTGGTCACCGCCCGCGGGTCTCGCCGACCGCCAGGGTCTTGTCGAGACGCGGCTTCTGGCTCGGGTCCGACGCGGGCCAGAGACCCTGACCTCCAGCGAGTCCCCAGCCGATGCCAGCTGCAGCCTGGCGTCCTGGTGAGGGGCCAAGGCTGCGGTCGTGGGGGTCCAGGCTTGAGAGCCAGCTGTCCCACTCTCACTCACCGGGGGGCTCTGGAGATGCCGTGCCCCACCGGCCAGACCAGAAGCCCAGCACGTGCGTCCAGACCGGCTTAAATTACCGCTTAGCGCCCAAAAGGCTCCTCTCTAAGCTCAAGTTTCTTGAAACTTGGGGTGCTGAGAAGAACGCGTCCCGTCATAGCCTGGGCTCCCCGCAACCCGAAGGGAGCAGGAATTCTGCTTTGGTGGTCTGAGGACTTCACCTTGGGCACCCTCGTCCAGGCAGGGTTGGGGGTCACGTCGTCCTCTAAGACCGCAGCATGTCGGGGCTCCCACCCGAGCCCTGGCGGCCGAGCGTGGCGTGAGGGTCGCTTTGGTGCACGGGCGGCCGGCGGGAGAGGTGGTCTGCCCGTCGTGTCTCCGTGTCTGCTAACACAGCGCGCAGGGAAAGAGCACTTCTGCTAAATTTAGCCAAGGGCGGCTTGGCATCTCCGCCTTCCCATGCATCAGGAGGACACATTTCTTCCATATTATGCCATATTCCTAAAAATATTCCATGCTCTGCTCCCAGCACTCGGACCACGGCGGTAACTGCGCCACTGAGTGCCAGCCTCACTGCCCCAAGACTCCCCATCCCTGATGAGGCTGGCACCGGTGCTTCTGTCCAGGCACCGACTGTCCCCTCTCTGACCTCTGACCTCCTGCAGCCCCAGGACGTGCTGACACCCTGGCCGCCCTCCAGGAGGGGTCAGGCGGAGACCCCCAACCAGCCTGCCCCACGTTGCTGCCCACGGGGACGTTAGCGGGAACAGGACCCCGCAGATGGCAGCGGGCGTCAGACTGAGTGGGCAGCTGACCCAGGAGCGGTGGCCCCTTGCTTGCTCAATACTGGCTTTATCCGGCCTCCCCGAGGACAGCGTCTTCGTGTCATTTCAAATCGATGGGCCGGGGAGCCCCGTCATGGTCTTGAGGGCACAGCGAGTGCTGGTCGGTGCCAGCCC